TTGGTTCTTTTCAACCTGAATTTAATTCTTGAAGGATGAGACCTTGTGTCATCTTTTCATATCCATACCATTCTAGTAAACTGCCTGACTGACCAATAAATGTTTGCAAATCAATGTTAGGAATAAAAGCACAACTAAGCCAATAGTTTTGAGTGACACACGAAAAACTGAAGTATATAAACTTCACAACATGGATTCTGACAACTGTTTTGGCTACTCTGGGTTTCTCGTTTGTATTCAGGGTTAAGTTGTTAGTATATGAGCACAAAGCTCTTTATTCCTAAAAATAACCTACAGGCCACGTACAGAATTATATGTTTATTTACATCTTCACATGCAGTGATACATCAGTATGGACATATACATGTTGACGGTCTATTTTCCTTTAAGTATAGCTTCACACTTAGGAAGGCGAGGCAGGAGGATCACTTGAGGCCAGGAGTTCAAGACCAGCCTTGGCAACATATCAAGACCTCATGTCTACAAAAAATTAGCCAAAAGTGGTGGCGTACCACCTGTAGTCCTAGCTACTCAGGAGGCTAAGGCTGGAGGATTACTTTGGTCAGGGGGTTGAGGGTGCAGTGAGCTATGATTATGCCACTGTACTCTAGGCTGGGCAACAGAGTGAGACCCTGTTTCTAAAAATGAAAAATAAAACAAAAATATACCTTCAAACTAAAAATAAACCCAGAAAAAAGCAACCAAATATCACTTGTTTTCCATGACCTCATGCTCAAGTAAGGCAGTTAGGGTATGTAGACAGAGTGTAAAGAATAATTTACTAGGTGAGGCTGGTTTGCTTTTCTTGTGAATATTCTGTACTTCCCCAGACTTTTACAGAGCAGTTTCAAACATTTTTCTAACATTCAGAAATCACATTAATATTTCCAAAATAAAAAACCTATGGTATACAAGTACACAACAAAAGGTCACTTAAATACTTCATTCTTCTCAAATTATCTGAATATAGGTATTACCAATGAATAAGAGCAAGAGGGAGTAAATTTTATTGAGTACCTACTATATGTCCAGGCACTGTACTAGTCATTTGGCTCAATTTTTAACAGTCTTATGAGGTATTTAGAAATAAGAAAGCAGGCTCAGGGCTAGTGAGAAGCAGAGACCTGACTTAAAAGCCTGTCCTCTGCAACATCGCATTTTCTTTATAATAATACAAAAAATGAACATAGATGTGCTGGAATATATACCTGTGTTTCACGTTTTTAAGGATAAAATATACTGGTGCACAGCAATGTACATCATTGTTACTTAAGTTTGAGTTTATGATGGACACACAGATTTAATAAAAAGATGGCAAAATTACCTGCACTATTATTATCATCATCCTGTTCAATGAAGACATGATCCAAAATAAAGCTGAGCAACTCAGACTGCAATGAAGAATCAGGGGTATAAACTAATGGCTCTAACATGTCACGCCCTCCTGACATAATCTGATGGCTGAAGATCATCAAAATATCACACAGAATAGTGAAGGCCTATTTTAAAAAAAAAAAAAAAAAGAGGAAAGCATGCTATAATTCAAGGTTTCTCACTAACTGCCACATATGATTTACTTATTTAACACAGAAACAGAATCCAATTCTCTATATTTAAAAATCTTTAAGAGAAATCGATGTTTAGTATTTTCCTAAGATTCTAAAGCTGAGAAGTATAATTTCTGTAACAATGACTCCTTATAATTGTATAATGGTTTACTAAATGCAAAGTAATTTCACATTTTTTTTTTAATTTTCAGTAACGTTAAGTGACTTGACAATATGCTACACACTGCCAAAACGTGCAGGGTCAGAACTCAAACTTAGGTTTTCTAAAACCAAATCCCCTATTTTGCACTATATTGCAATGCCCCAAGGTATTCATTCTCAAATATGAAATAATATATAAACCAATCCTCATTCTACAGGAGAAAAAACATTAAAGAAGTATTAGAATAGAGATCACAAAATCTATGGTGCTTATTAAGCACTCTCATTGTTCACACACGTACTGATTAAGTAAGAGAAAACATAAGCAGATATGGGGCTGCTTGCTATTTATCAGGTAAATCTGAATGTATTATAATAAACATAAGGCTGAAATTGTATCTTAAGGAGCTTAACAAAAACTCTGTCATGGGTCTTAAATGGAGTCACAGACTAGTTAATTATTTGCTGGTAAGCAGTAATGAAAACAGAATTTTAGGGTTAAAGTAAATCAGAAAATACATTTAAAGGAAGACCATTCCTGGAAAGACAATATAATACAGAGCACAAAGCAGATCTTATTAACAGTTTTTCCATTTTGGAGCTAACCATATTTACTTTTTCTCTTTACGTTTTTACTCCTTCCTTCCGTCTCTTCTCCTAACTACTATAATAGTAATTTATACCTATTAGCATATTTCAGTTTACAAAAACTTGCAACATAAAGAGTAAGAATATAAATTATTAAGTATGATGATATTTACTAATTAGCTAAACTGGGAAAGCAAGTGAGCTGGCCAGGAAATATTCTGGGAAGCTGCTGGGAAGACTGGGCACACAAGCTAGTTAATAACCAAATAATTAATCTCTATGACCTGAACAAGGGATTATATAAGAGGTTACACAGGATAACCCACAAGGATTATGTGCTAATACTATAAAAATAGGGAATATTATGCTGAATATCTTGGTGTCACATGCAAATATAAAGTAATATTTCATGCATGAGGTTTGGATCCGAGCATGTCATTAAAATCCTATTCCAAGAGTTTAAATGTAAACTCAATTTAATACCATCAGCAATCTTGTTCCTTTCGTCTGAATTACAGAGATGAAAATTAAAGTACCACACCCTTTATTGCCATAGTTCAAAACTACACATGTAAAATTGGAGAGAATTCAGCAATGTAATAGTTATGGCAATATACTTCATATTTTTGGGGAAAAAAAGGCAAAATGCAGTAACTGCATCTTGCCCATTGAATACCTTCTAATTCATGTATGACCAAGCATATATGTATGGTAGGGACAAGAGAGAGCTGGAAAGAAGAAAAAAAGAGGCTAACAGCTGGGCACTGAATGAACATTTTAAAATACAAAAATCCAAGTATGTTTTATTAAAATTAGCTTTGATATTTTTAAATTAAATAAAGACAAGTGCCAAACAAAAGGGTTGGTATATTTGAATAACGCTGACCTAAAATAAATATACCTAACATACCACAGCGTCCAAAAATCAGAGTCAGGCTGACTATTGAGATTCTACCTCAAGAAACAAAGGTTAAGCTGTATGAAATGGTTGTAAACTTTGAAATCACCATAATTATTTTGATTATACCACATTAATAGTTCTTATGAAATGCCTGCAAAAACATCCTCCCATAAAAGCATTTTAAAAGCATGTTTCCAATGAAGCTTAATCCTCTCAGTTAGGGAATTAGAACTGAACATGATGTTAGTTCTAGGATCAAACCAGTAACAGTCTATTTCCAGATTTGAAAAGGTTGGAAGTAATGGAAGCATGAAGGCATATGGTTGGGAAGGTAACACAGGGAAGACAGGAAAGTGATTATAAATGTTTATTTCAGACAAGGTCCACAGGAAGATCAAGATGGGCGAGAAGGCCAACATCTGATATTCTCAGAGATAACAAAACCTTATGGACTTTCCACCCTGGAGCAAACTTGGTATATTAGTTGCTTTCAGGAATGACTTTTGTGATTTCATACACCTATAATTTATATGACATACCGTATATGTCATAAACAACAACATAAAATAGCTATAATATAAGGGTAATCTATAATGCAATTATAAACTCCGTATGAAATTAATCAATTTTTTATGCACGAGTCCAGTATATTAACCTATTTTCTTAGTAGGCATACATAGGCAGATAAAAGACATTTATGCTTTGCTCAACCTTAGTATTATTTAAACTTTCTATATTAGTTCAGATTTTATAAAGGTTGCTTACAAAAAGATTATCACCTATAGTAATTACTAACCTGTTCCTTAACAGTAGTATTCACGTTGGTCAGGTAATGTTGACATATCTGACAAAATACTCTCATTTGTTTCTTTAAACGCAGCAAGTCCTCCTTGAAAAAATTTAACATGAACTTTTAAAAAATACTGTATAAACAATTTAGTATTTCTTTAAAATGTTTTCAATTACATAAAACATTATCATATATATAGCTTTATTAACTCTACTTGTACATTTGATTTAAATTTCTTCTTTATAATTTAAAAGAAACAAAAACAAAGAAAACGAAACAATTTGTCTTATAAATCTCACCAAATTGCAACCTTAAAAATACAAGGGCTGGGCACGGTGGCTCATGCCTGTAATCCCAGCACTTTGGGAGGCCAAGGCGCGCAGATCACAAAGTCAAGAGATGGAGACCATGGTGAAACCCCAACTCTACTAAAAAATACAAAAAATTAGCTGGGCGTGGTGGCGCGCACCTGTGGTCCCAGCTACTCGGGAGGCTGAGGCAGGAGAATTGCTTGAACCTGGGAGACGGAGGTTGCAGTGAGCAGAGATAGCGCCACTGCACTCCAGCCTGGCATCTGGCAACAGAGCAAGACTCTGTCTCAAAAAAAGAAAAGAAAAAGAAGAATGAGGTATATTAATAGATAATATCCTAAGACTTTAGTATATTAAGAGGATGAGAAAACTTATATAATTGATATGGCAATCTTTAATAAAGCCATTAGCACAGTATGCTAATAAAGATTTATGCTCCATGCTCACATCATTTGAAGGGTGGTCAACCCATAAATGGAAGAAAATAATAAAAAAGAAACAGCATCTTCCATTTCTTGTTAGAAAGATACTGGCTGTACTTTATAAAAACTCAGAATGGCCGGGCGCGGTGGCTCAAGCCTGTAATCCCAGCACTTTGGGAGGCCGAGGCGGGTGAATCACAAGGTCAAGAGATCAAGACCATCCTGGTCAACATGGTGAAACACCGTCTCTACTAAAAACTACAAAAAATTAGCTGGGCATGGTGGCGCGTGCCTGTAATCCCAGCTACTCAGGA